CCTGAGGGTCTCCGCTAGGCCTCACCTCTAAAGGGTCCCAACTCCTCACAGTAGCACCACCACAAAAGTCAACGGTATGGGTCTCTGATAGAATGGGAGGACCCCATGAGCCCAAGGAACTGGCACGTCAATGCAGATGCAGGGACACTGTGAGCCCAGGGCCTGAGGGGTCACTTCACTGTGACCACTACCTAGAAACACAGGCACAAAACTGGGTGCCCTGCAAGAAGCAGGAGTAGAAGGTCCACCTGGAACTTTGTGCATATGCAACCTGTGAAGAAGAGAAATCCCAATATTCTGATCTGAGCCCACTCTGCACTATCTCTGGTTCTACTGGGTATGGGATAGGGAGGAGGGAGAAGTGGAGAGTGGTGATGAGGGCTGATGGGGAAGGAATGAGAAAGAACTCAAAGAGCAGGTCAAAAGTTGGAGATCTGTGGACTCTCCATGAATAACTCATTGATTTCTGAAGAAAAGTGACATGATTTGTGTCATGTAGTTTCATTGGTTTTCAGAAGCAAATATATATTCTGAGTTAATGAGCCATATTGGACCTTGTTATCCATACAGTTGCCCTGACTTCATGGAGGCCACAGCTCAGTGACAGACCTGGACAAGGTGTCCTATGTCACCTCTTTCCTCTTTCCCCCACGTTGACACACATTCGGTCCATAAGTACCGACTTCACTTTCTCAGGTACTTTCTTTCTTCACAGGCACCGACCCTTTTCAGGGCTTGAAATATTCCAACAGCATCCACAGTAAGATGCAGGGGACATTACCTGGGAGAGTGGTTTGGTTGTGGGGATAGTATCTGGAGAGCATGAAATTCACCCTTGTGACTCACTTTAAATACACAAGTCAGTGACATACAGGATCTTCACAGTGCTGTACATCGAGAAAAGATTTTAGGGTCTGTCCTTTCGTCTCTTAGGTCCAGCCCTGAGCCTCAGTGCCCCAGAGTGGGAGGCTGCAGTCACAATCCAAGGGCAACCCCAGGTCTCAGTCCTACAGTACAAATCCTCCCAGGACCCAAGACCTGCCACAAAGTCATGGCTGGGAAGATGCTGGCTAACCAGGCTGCCCTGCCTCTGGGGATGAGACAAGTATCCTTTCTGGCCTGGGTTGCTGGTGACATGGAGAAGAAGACAGGTGCTGGGGGGCAGGGGCAGGGCGATCATTGCAAGAGAGAGGATTCCTACACTGAGCAGAGGAGGGGCAGAAGGCCTCCACTTGAGCCTGGGGGCAGCCTCAATGTCCTGCCTTCCTGAAGGCTAAATTTCAGGATGATGTTTTCAGGAAGCTGTGTCCAGCCTCTTTCTGACAAGGTTTTTCTTTCCTGGTAAAGGTGCTGCTTCGGATGAGACAAACTTAGGGGTGCATAATCAAAACCTCAAGTGATACAAAAAGGTTGAGACCTTTGAAACTGTGTCATTTCTGAAATGTCTTCATTTGAAGAGTCAGTGCTTCTAATTCATTGTTGATTACTAAATGATGGGAGGGGTCTCAGAGCCCCTTTGGTCCTAGACAACTTGTCTCTCCAGTTTGGACTCCAAAGGCAATAATGATTAAGGGTTTCTGTGTAGGTGAAATGGGCGAAGGCCAAGGCTGAATCCCAAAACTGCACAGGCTGTGGCTTAGGTGTCCCCACAATGCTGAGAAGTAGAAACTAAGGTGAGAAAGACCCCCCAACACTGCCTAAGGGACAGAAGTTTATGGATCAGTATCGCGTGGAATCTCTGGTCAGTAGCTCTGCCTCTTGGTGAGGGAGATCAAGTATGTGGCTGCAGGCCCCCAAGAACAAGCCACAGACACAGTTCAAGCAGCTGGTAAAGGGTGACAGTCCTGGGAACATCAGCACTGACTCATGTCCCAACCCTCCCTTCTATGGGAGGGATCTGTCCTGAAGTTCAAATCTGGAGTTTGTGAAAACCTGGGGATAGAGTCTGGAACTGAGTCCTCATCCAGGTTAATTTGGGACACTCACCTGTCCATGTCCTCCTCCAGGACCCAAAGGAGGGCTCCAGCCCCAACATCCCCAAGTGAGCCTCGCCCATGGGTATGGGCCCTGGCAGCACCAGGAGGATGCACTGTACCCAGATCTCCCCATGGAACATCCCCCTCCATCCACAGCCACCTTCCCACCCCTCTGCAGGGACAGGGCACTACAGTGAGTGCATTGCTGCCCAATTCTTCCCATAGAGCCACATCGTGCCCTCACCTCTGGACTCTGTAGCTCCTGCACTTCTGAGCCTGCTCCATTTCTCCCCAGAGTCTGGGATGTGTCCACAAGAGACACCTGTGAGGGCATGGAGAAGTCTTTGTTCCTTTCTCATTTTGCATTGGCTGCTCTTCAGTGACATTGAACCCTGCCTGAGCTGGCCTGCTGGGACAAGATTACATACAGTGTCACTGGTACTGCAGTCTATCTAGGACATTTCCATAGGTATCCTGAAACCCAGAGAGCTGCCCAGCACAGACCAGGAAAAACTACTGGCTCACAATCCCAAGCAACCTGTGTGCACATTATCCTCTTGTCCTTTTACCTACAAATGGTTCTACACCAATGAACCAATGAATGGAATAGAAGCCCCCATATCCACACCTCACCAGCAAACATGCTGGACTCAGATGTGCACCAGCAAGGAGATTTCATCATTTGTTCTACCAAAATGCCAGGTTTTGCTTGTACTACAGGATTGTCAATCAGATCCTGATTGATACACGAGACAATAGGTCACGGGCCTCCTTCCTGAGCAGATGGGAGGCAGTATTTTAATTGAATTGTAGAATTGCCCAAGAGTCTAAAGACCTTGCTAAAGAAGTACTCTCCTGTCTTCTGGAAGCCCATGCGCAGGTAGAGGGTCAGAGCATCCTGCTGTACCATGCTAGTTTCAAGGACAACCTCACTGTAGCCCTGAGCCCTCGCAAACTGGAGGACAGTCATGACCAGGGCTTTCCCTAGTCCTTCACCTCGGTGCTCCAAGGCCACAGAGAGGTGAAACAGCTGCAGTTGCTTCCTCCCTGGGGGGGCATCCTCCACTGGCAAAGCACCCACTATGCCTGCCACGTGCCCCCCAGACTCAGCCACCCAAAAGCAGGAACCACGGTCCCTCAGGTAGGATTTGTTGATGTCAGCAAGGTCTGTCTGCAAACACATGACCACGTACTGCCTCCAAGGATGTCTGGCCAACATCCAGAGGAAAACAAGGAGGATGACATTGGATCCAAGAGCCAGGAGCCAAGAGCCAGAGACCAGGAGTAGGGCGACGGGCACCCCAAGTAAGACCAGGTATGTTTGTGGCATCTTCAACCCAAGGCAGAATGTGGCGGGGATATGCTCGACCATTCCTTGGGAGAACAAGTCCAGGACCCTCTTGCGGTCAGTCTTCTGGTATTTGCGGATGTGATGAGGTGCCATTGGGAGACTATGTATCTGCGGTTTTTACAGTGACAGGTAAACTTTCATACACGCCTTCCCTACAGCTCTGGAAGAGAGGAAAATATCACGTGAGTGTCCCTGGCTTCTCCAGATCGTAGGATACAGCTCAAGTGTGTATCAATTTTTGTAATTACATTTAGTTATTCTAATTAGGTATATATGACATCACAAGGCATTTTGATTCATTCTACACAAATGTAGCACAATTTTTTATTCTTCTGGTTGTACATGATGTAGCTTCGCACCATATGTGCAGTCATACATATCCCTGGGGTCATGATGTCCTTCACATTCCCCCTTCTTTCTTGCCCCCACAAGACCTTTCCATCCTCATCCTTTTTTGCCCTATCAGATTCCCTCCATTCTTCCCATCACCCCCATTATGGAGCAACATTCACTTATCATGAAGAACATTCAGGCATTGGTGTTGAGGGATTGGCTTAGTTTGCTTAGTATAATATTCTCCAACTCCATCTATTTACATGCAAAGGCCATAATTTCATTCTCTTTTAATGCTGCGTAGTATTCCATCATGTATATCCACCACAGTTTCTTTATCCATTGATCTATTGAAGGGCAAATAGGTTGGATCCACAGTTTAGCTAATGTGAATAGAGCTGCTATAAACATTGATGTGGCTGAGTCTCTATAGTAGGCTGATTTTAAGTCCTTTGGGTATAAGTCCAGGACTGGGATACTTAGGTCAAATGGTAGTTCAATTCCAGGTTTTCTAAGGAATTTCCATACTGCTTTTAAGTATGGAAATTCCTTAGAAAACCTGGAATTGAACTACCAAATTGGTTCCACCAATTTGCAGTCCCTTCAGGAATGTATGACTGTCTCTTTTTCCCGACATCCTCACCAACTCAATTTTTTGTTTTTGTGTCTTTACTGTGGCCAAAAAGCAGCAGGCCATCAGAACTGGGAACAGGTGTAGGATCAGACACACTTGACTAGAACCCCAATTTCCCCCATTTCTAACTGTGTGTCTTGGGTATATCACATAACTGCTCTTAGTCTGTGTCTTCACCTACATCTTAGGGTTTAATAACATTGTCCTCTAGGGTTGTTTTGAATGTTAACAGCCTGGTGAATATAATGTACTGATATATACAGTTCCTTCCTCTTCAGCCTATTTCCCTTTTAGGGCTCTTTAAACTGATTGGTAAATGCAGATAACACCCTTTAACAATCATTATTATGTTCCCAGGCCTTTGGGCCCTACCAAAGTTCTAAATCTTACAGGATTCCTGTTTCCAAAGCAGAAGTTTCAGTGAAGCCTCCTTTTCCAATGCTAAGGATTACACTGCTAAGACGACAAAGGGCCAAGTGAAGCCTTCAGACCCTTAAAAGTTGTGAGACTCCATTGCCACACTGAGACCCCCAACCTTACACCCCAGTCCACTCACCTGCGTCTCCAGAGCCAAGAGTGTCCAGAGCAGCCTCAGACCTCAGCCTCCAACGGACATCCAGGAGAGACTGAGACCTGCCCACCTGTGGGTAGCACATATGGATTGTTACTTATTTGCAGAGTCATGAAAGTTGCACAATCAGAAATCCCCAAGGGCAAAGTACTGAGGTGTAACAGGGAGCCCAAGTCCTTTCACCTTCTTGAAGACTGGGAAACAAACCTGTGGGGTCAGCAGGATCTCTACCAGCACAGGCCCCTCCTCTTAGGAACCTGGCACCTCTCTCCTGTTCCCTTCAGGCTACAGCATCTCCCACCCAGCACATCTGGACCTCTCTGAGGTCCACCCAGGTCCTATTCCACACCTGCTAGGAGTCT